TCGGAATGCTCGCGCGTTGAGCGATGAGCACTCAGCTGACGTGAGTCCGTTGGATTGAGCAGGCATTTTGAGCGCGGAATGCGTCATTCCGCATAAGCAGCCCCCGCTTATGAGCGGAACCCTGACCGCCGCGGCCGCCTGACCGCCAGGCGGCGCGCGGCCGCGACTAGCTGACTGGGCCACTGAACGAGAAGACGTCTTGCTTAAAAGAAGAAGACGCTCAGTTAGCTCTTCAAGAATACCACAGAAGGAAGCGCCCGTGGCGCCTCCAGACTAGCTCTACGCTTCTTTCGATTGGGTATTTGGCGCGAACTAGGATGGAGAGAGAATTAGAAACCCTGATCGCCATTAAAGGCCTTCCTTGGCTGGTGGGGAAGGACTTTCAGGTGATGTACGAGGGAAGACCAGTCCTGACCATTCTGTCAGAACTTCATCCTAATGGCACTTTCTCCGGGGTAGATGAGGGTGGTAACCGTTATCCAGGCACCATCGCCCCCGCGGATCTAAGGATCGGAAGGGGAACTCGTTTGAACAACGACCCCGTGATCGAGGCTTTGAGGGAGTACAAGCTAGAGTGGGAACAGTATACGGTCGCCATCCCCGGCTTTGGAGCCTTTCCTGCACCTCCGCCGCCTCAGCAAGGCTTCCGTCCTGAGGGGCAGGCAGCGCGCTTTGGGGTTCACCCCCAGGCACCAGGGTTTCCCCAGGCAGGACAAGGGCAGCCTGAAGTGAGACCGCCTCAGGTGCAGATACCACAGCAGAATTATGCTTTCGGGATGAATCTTGAACAAACTCCGGCTGCAATGGCTGCGCAGACGCCGGCTATGAGGATCCTGCAAGGGGGGCTGAACAATCCGTTTCACCCCGCATCCACCGCGAGACTTGAGAAGACCATTCGTCAGTTGGTGTCCAAAGGCACCTTGGAGACTCACTTGACGTCAGTGCTGCGAGAAATTAATCCGAAGCTGCCCGCGTGGTCCACCAAGGCAGCCTATCTTTTCGACATCTACCAGGAACCTGACTCTCAGGTGGCACACTTGCTGTCAGCCGTCTACCTCTACGCTACGCGGCTTAATTACGTCTCTCCCGACTTGGAGTGGCTCGCCAACGCCTTCGTGGCAGAGAGGAAGATGAAGATCGAGCAGGCGGGAGACAGCACCACGTGGACGGCGGAGACGAGGGCAACGTTGGAGGCGGAGATTCGCCACGCTTTCTTTGAAAGCAAGGCGAAGGCGGACACGCTGCTTGGCAAGGGCGTGGTCCGCCCCCTCTTCGACCCAGACAAACCGCCAAGGTCAGAACTCGATCCTACTCTCACGCAGGCCTATGGCTTCCGATTCGGTTCTGTATAAGTGGTCGTACACAGTTCAGTTGCAACGGAACGAGAACCAATTAATTCCGAGTTCCCTGAGACGCAGGCTTCGGTCGGTCTATAGCCTTGCTAGGGACCAGAAGGTGGTCTCCTTGGTGATCGATGGTGTTATAATAGCACCGATCACGTCAAGAAATGCAGTCGACTAAATGTCAAAGCCCTGTGGGTCTAATTTTTAGATTGAACGGTAAGCTGACTCGGTTAGAAATTGGACAACTTGGTTGAACGTCCCGTTAAAGAAGTTGTTCAGGAGAGTTTGTTGGAGCCCTGTGGGCATAGCTAAAGGAGCTGCGGACAAGTGAAGGTCCTGAGCAGGTGCTCGGCCATGTGCGCCATCGTGACGTCACCTTTTGGGCTTAATGCCCGGGCCCTGTGGGCATGACAGGGGTAGAATTGCTACCTTGTGAGTCTGAAGAGCATAAAGCTCGGCCATGTGAGCCATATCTGGGCATAGACGCCCCTCAAATGTGAGACGAGCCTATAAAAGGCAGGCATGTGTCCTAACGCCGGTTTATGCCGGCTTGCAGAAGGAACAACGGCAACAACAACCAAGGCAACTGGAACCAGGGCAACTGGAACGCCCCGCCGGGGGGACGGCAGAACTTCGGAGGCGGCCAAGGCGGCGGCCGCGCTAGGTTTGGCCGCGGCTTCGAGGGAGATAGGGAGAATCAAGGGGATCAAGGAGCAGGGCAGAATAGAGGCAACAGGTAAACCCGCGAGCGGTTCATAAAAATGTGAGGTTACGTCAGTGTTACGTGATCGGTAGAGATAGCTTACGAAAGTAGGAAAGGATCAGTGAGGCGAGCGAAAGAATGTTAGATGGTCGAAGTAGACAGCGTTAACGACACCTCAGAAGTTGTAAAAGCTGTGCAGAAGAACTGAGAGATTCAAGTATGTTCAAGAGCCTTCTTTGGCCCCTTTCAGACTCACGACTCCTGGCGCGTGCGTTCAGAAATTCTAACTATGTTCACCAACTGCCAAAAGTGTATGGGCTTGAATGAATGATCGTCTGGTAAAGTACCGACGGGAAATTATATGCACGGCTTTAGATTGCTGATGCATCACCGTTGCAATGACAGCGGTTCATCGCCTATGGCGCCTGCGGAGATCGCGCTGTCCGAAGCGGAGCCCTGTGGGCTCGACGCTGAGCAAGATTCATCGGAACAGCGAGAAGCTGCGCACGACCCCTCAGTGGTCGAACCGCACTCCGACAGCACTGGGGACGTGGAACTCAGCTTCGAGTCCGCGGCTGATGAAATAGACCTAGATGCTGATCCGTTAACAAGCGCCGGTAGCCCTTCAGATGCGTCAAAGTGGGATTTCGAGTTCTTCTCCTCTCGTTTCACGCCACGTGTCGCGGCGGCAGTGGACGCGGAGCAGCTCGCCCGCGACCTGAAGTCCCTCCTGACGGAAATCGAGGCGGGGCCGGAATTTAGCGTGATGACAGAAGAGGAGCTGTCAGCTTGGCTCAAGTCGGTCGAAGAGAAGGTGCCACCAGTCGAGAGTTTCGTGGCCGGCAGTTTCGGTCGGCACCTCCGCGCTTGGGAAGAGTTACTGAAGGATTCCACGCGGCCGGCTTCCAAGACAGTGCTGTCCTGGTTACGGAACGGCATCAAGCCGTCTTTCGTTGGCACAGCCCAGTGCGACCCCAAGAAGCTGGAGAGGGTGCGGCTCATGCTTAGGAGAACGATAGGAGAGGCAAAAGTCGGGGAGTGGCTCTCAGGGGAGGTGCCGCACCCTGTGGAATTTCCCAATCACCGCTCTTTTTACGAGAACGCGGAGTTCGGCATCAAGACGGTCGGCGAGATGTTGGTTAACGGATCGGTTGCGCTTTTCGCGCCGGGTGAGCGCAAGCCTAAGGTAGTTAACCCCCTAGGAGTAGTTAACCTCCCCAAAGGGCGCCTAGTGTTAGATGCCGGCTACGTGAACGCGTTCTCGAAACCGCACCCGTTCAAATACGAAACGTTGCGCGACATCCTCACTTTTCTGGGGGCCAACGGCTTCTTCTCGACTTGGGACTTCAAGGCGGGCTACTACCACGCCCTCATTCATCCCCGCTTTCGGACTTACTTCGGCTTCAGAATTGGCAAGGCCTACTTCCAGTACAACGCCATGTGCTTCGGCTGGTCCGAAGCCTGCTACGCCTACACGCTGCTTACTCAAGAAGCAGCCAAGGAGCTCCGGGTCAGGGGTATCCCCGTTTCGAGTTACCTGGATGACGGTTTAACCGCCAATCAGAGCTTTGCTCTGTGCCTCTGGCTCGTTGTGGTGATCATCCGCTTTCTCACCCTTCTCGGGGCGGTGTTCAGCCTGCCTAAGTGCCAATTCTGGCCCTCCAAGACCGGCGACTGGCTAGGATTCGTGGTCGACACTCAAGCGGAGCAGTTCAGAGTTTCGGAGGCGAAGTTAACCAAGGTCAAGGCGGTCTTAACCGAACTCCTTAACGCGGCTGACGTCAGCCCCCGTCTCCTCGCCAAGGTTGCGGGAAAGATCATCGCAATGGGCCCCGCGGTGCTGCCGGCCTCCTTGTTCAGTCGGCCTTTGTTTCAGGCGATGCAAGGTCGCATCTCCTGGGATGAAGTTTTTCCCACGCCGTTGGCGGCCAAAACCGCCGCTAAACTCTTCTTGGAGCGTCTCGACGACTGGAACGGAAGGCGGTGGTTTCCCCGCCGAGTCCTAATCGAAGCTGCTTCCGACGCATCCGACTTCGGGTTCGGGGGATCCCTCTACATCGCCGGCAGCCCCCCCTTCCACGTGGCAGGTTCTTTGACGGAGGCAGAGGTTAAGCAGTCGAGTACGGCGCGCGAAATGGTGGGTTTTCTTCGCGTTCTTCAACAGGCTGTCCTTCACCACCGCCCTCTCCTCTCCGGGGCCGCTGTTTTGCTGATTGGCGACAACCAAGGCGCGGTGGCGGCCGTCAATAGTATGAGAAGCTCGGCGCCCGACGTAAACGGGGTTCTCCAGGAGATATTCACGCTCTGTTCAGAAGGAGATTTCGACGTCCTAGCTCAGTGGAAACCGCGCGCAGAACTGGCAGTAGAGGACGCGCTTAGTCGGGTGCCAGACGCTTCCGACTGGGGCCTTGCCCCGGCTGTCCTGAAAGCCGCCGTCTCGCTGTTCGGACAGCCAGACGTGGACCTCTTCGCTTCGGACACGTGGCATGTAGCAGAGCGGTTTGTGACCCCTCGCTACATGCCGGGCTGCTGTGCAGTCGATGCCCTTCGAACGGACTGGCGGACTCTTGTAGAGCAAGGCGAGACGGCGTGGATATTCCCGCCGGTGAGGGCATTGCCAAGCGTCATTCAGTCCATCCGCAACTTTAGAACGGATGCGATCCTGGTAGTCCCGGAAGCGACCACCACTAATTGGTGGCTAGAGTTAATGCACTTAGGCAGTGACGCGAGCATGGCAGGCCCGCTCGAGATTGAGCGATCCACGGATGCGTGCATTCCGAGCAGGCGAGTGCCTGCCGGAACCGTAAACCCCGCTTTGTACAAGCTCAGAGTATTCAAAATAAACTGGAAGTAGGACGTACAGGTGGTAGCAACGGTCGAGAAGTTTGGTGCAAATGACTACAAAACTCAGACATAACACAACTGTGCAGCCGCCTGACTAGAGGACGCCATGGGTCGAGTCTTAGTGACGCAGAATTTTGGATCAGCCTAGAGCGACTGTGGCACGTATTGGTCGAGTCTTAGTGACGCAGAATTCTGGATCAGCATAGAGCGATTGTGGCACGTATTAGTAGTCAGAATCGAATGCATTCAATAAGCGCACCTTGGGCAGCGCGCGCGCGAGCGCCTCACATGTGCAAGCAAGGGCCAAAAATTTGTCACGGCACTCAAACAACTGCCTATGCGTCAAGCTGAAGCGCTTGTTGAAATCGTGACCACGAATTGGCCGTCAATTACAAAAGTTCTCTGAGTCGCAAAGTTCTCACTTGCGCCACACTTCCTCTACATATAATCGGAAGGCCGCATAACTCTTCCACCTCCCTAACTCCATTAACTGCTTAACGTTATAGTTCAGGTTCACCGCCGCATGCTGGACGGCGGAGCGACGGAAGCTATGCACAGTTTCGCCCTCGAACAGTCCGGCTTCCTTAAGCCGCTTTTGCAACCTTTTTCTCAAGGTGTCGCTGCTCATTGGCTCATTAACAAAACCGGTCCGACTCCTATTCATGGCCCGGAACAGGAAGCCATCCTCTCCGACTGGATGCCCTCCTTCTACCATACCGAGTAACAACGCCTCAGCAGCCGCCACGAAGGTTAGCCGGCTCTGAGATTCCGGCGCCGCGAGCGGAATCCGCGCGCTGGGCTCCTGCCGGACTGTCTTACTCCAACCCGGGTAAGCCACCTGTTCCTCCAACTCCACTTGCCGTCGTTGCAGCTGCCCGCACTCCTTCCCCCGTGCGAGCGTCTCCCAAAGATACAACACGGCCGCCTGGTCCGTCAACAGAACGCACCTCTCTAAACCAGGGGAGCTCTCCTGGATCAGCCGCGCAAGGTGAGCTAGCAGTGCGTCCAGCTTTGCTTCCGTGAAGACTTTAGCGCACTGAACCTTCACCCCCTGCTCGTGCAACATCTTCTCGTATCCCACGCGGAATGACTTCACCACCTCGGCTTTGGCGGGATTGGCCCGCCCTTCGAAACCGAGGAGGGAGTAAGACTTTGATAAGTCTTTTACCACGTGGGTCACAGCAGACGCTGACGGGATGGGCTCCCCCGTCCCGGGCAGCTTGGTCCTGCAACCGGCCTTATGATTGGGAATCCAATCCCCCAGGATGAACGCCCCAACGTCAGCAGCCGTGGCGGTCTCGACCGTAACCCCGAATGCATTCCGCGCCAGGAAGTCTTGGTATTGCTGGAACGTCCGCTTGCGGCTGCTGTTGCTGGCTGCGTTAACACTCTTCTCGGCTATCTTTCCGAAGCTCGACAGCGCCCCGTCATAAAACTGCTGAGTCTGCTCCGCACTCATTTTTCCGCTTGCTCCGCAGGTCCCACCCAAGCCCACCCCACGAATTTCCCGCAGCTTTTCCTCGCATCTTCGTTGAAAAGCCAACCTGCAGACGGACAACCACTGTTATCTTCCATAATTGTCGTTTGGCGCAAACGATTGTCTTTTTGGGGCGGCGTTTTCGGCACAACAGAGGCGCTTTGCAGCCGTCCGGGCGCCCCCCAACACCCCTATCGGAAGGTTGATATTAAATGGAGCTGACAATTTTGACTCTGTGATTGGTTAGCAGAGTGTTCTTATGATTTTAGTCATCGGAATGCTCGCGCGTTGAGCGATGAGCACTCAGCTGACGTGAGTCCGTTGGATTGAGCAGGCATTTTGAGCGCGGAATGCGTCATTCCGCATAAGCAGCCCCCGCTTATGAGCGGAACCCTGACCGCCGCGGCCGCCTGACCGCCAGGCGGCGCGCGGCCGCGACTAGCTGACTGGGCCACTGAACGAGAAGACGTCTTGCTTAAAAGAAGAAGACGCTCAGTTAGCTCTTCAAGAATACCACAGAAGGAAGCGCCCGTGGCGCCTCCAGACTAGCTCTACGCTTCTTTCGAGAAGCTTCGCTTCGACCCTTCCCACCCACCCTGAGTGGATAATAACGCATGCTAACGCCTTACCTGTCTTCTGCCGGTGGGCCCCATCCTGTCAGCGCAGACTCCATGGCTCCCGGCGCCTTCACTGTCAAGTATGCTCAAGTACTGCCTGTCTTCCCTTCGCTGCAGAAAGCCATCTCGTACAGACTCGGCCCCGTCGCGTCACGCCGCGCCCGCCCAACCCCCCCAACCCTGAGTCACCGCGGTCAAACAATCCCGACCGTCCATCGAACTTTCAGAAATGTCGACACCATTAAATATCAACCTTCGGTCCGCGGCGACCTACTGCGCAGGTCAACCCGTATCGGTCGCCGCACTTCCCCGGACGCTCATACGCTTACCTCCGGTGCCCCTATGCCAACCCGGCGTTTTCGGCACAACAGAGGCGCTTTGCAGCC